CAGTGGAAGTTACTCAGGCTGTTTTATTTAATTTCATATATTAAAGCGTGCTTGAATGTCGGAACTAAGTCGAAACAAATTTAATACCGGATTAAAAACGAAATTAAATATATAAAATGCGGTTGTACTTGATTTTCATATTTTTAAATCTACTTTATCTGGCCCAAATAACATCACTTCCAGCAGTAAAACCTCCTGAAAATAATGATTCGGTTCTTACTAAAATCAAAGCCTTTTTGCACTTTCTGTTTAGGCCAGAGTCGGGCGTACGAAATCGTTTATTGTCTCAAATCGAACGAAATCCAAATACTCCTGTCTATGTAAACTATCATGATGACGATGGTAAAGTATACAAGTTAAGTTTGCATACGTATACTAAAACTGAGAACAATGAAGACAACGCGAACCAACTCATGTACGAATTTAATAATGAGGACAATAAATATTCAAATAGAGGGCGCAGCGGAAATTTAGCAAGCATTAATTATGAATATGAAGAATATGAAAATGATCAAAGTAAAGATGATGATGAGCACAATAGGGATTATCGATATCGTGCGAAAACACATGGTAGACAAGATGAATACCACAATGAAAATCGTGGTCGCCAATCAAACAGGGACGACGATTGTGATGATGAAAGTGACAATAGCGAAGAAGGTAACGAAAAGAACGCTCGCAATAAATATGAACGTCACACCTTTAATTATGAACAAAGTTATCAATATAATAAGAACAGGCGAGACGCGAATTTTGATTATGAAAATGACTATCGCACACATGAGAATGGCCAAGACGGGGAAGACAACCATTTCAGAGATAACGAAAGTGGTGATAACCATCAATATGCGCGTGATAGGTTCGATTATAAATATAATTATCAATATCGCAAGAAGCGAGATAAAGGCAGCGAATATTTCCCCGATAACGAAAATCGGGATCGTTCTCAAAGTCAAGATGATAACTTTATTTACCAAACCGGGTATGAAAGACGTGACACTAACAAAGACCAAGGAGACTACAATTCCAATGACAAAAAGAATGATGGTCACAACCAATACCGCCAGAACAGCTTTCATTATAAGCACAATCATCAAGTTCGTAAGTTCAGACGAAATAAAGAAAATCAAAGATCGCCTCAAAGAAGAGACGAATATTTGAGTTATGAAAGTAACTATCAGAGACGTGAGAATAATCCGAATGGAGAAGATTACGGGGCTAGGCAGAAAAGGAAGAGCAACTCCAATTATGGAAGCAATCAAGATGACGGAAGCAAACATATTGACCGGAACCAAAAAGAAATTGAAAATTCTAGTAACGAAAATAGTCAAGAAAACCGTGGTAAAAAGAAAAAGGCGGAGAGTTATTATAACTATTTCATGGGTGGTGAAAATAATGTTCGTAATCAATTTGGAGATAACCACTTTAATTATAACAATGTGTATGGAGGCAATGGAAATAATCAAGGTGGACAAAATTATTATTTTAACGTTGGTACAGAGAGTCGGAAAGAAGGTAGTAGCGAAAAAAATCAAAAGATCAGCGGTAATGATATTGAAGAACACAGTGACGACAAGAAAACGGTGAAAGGCAACTTTCAAGACGATACGAAGAAGAGGCAAAATGAAGAAAACAACGGCTTGAACGAAAGTAACGAACGGAGTGAAGAGAACACAGAGGAATTTAATTATCAAAGCCACTATCGTAAGAATAACAACCATGGAAAAAAGTTTTATTCTGAAAACAACAATTATGGTCGCTATAACTACGAACGCAATGATTCCGACTATGAAAATGATTATCAAAGTGATGACTATAATCAAGGTGACGAGATGATAAAAGATGGTGATAAAAGTAATAATCGCAATGTCAGTAACGTGAATTATGAGATTAACCGTCGCGAAAATTATCAAAACGGTGAAAACGACATGAAAAGCACTCACCGCAGTGAAAAAAGAAAAGACAATTTTGAGTATCGACACGAGTATGAAGAGTATGATGGGACGGACAACAAACATAATGAAAATAATCAGAATAGAAAAGATTACTTATATGTCAAAAGACAATCCTATGACCCCAGTCGTCACGGTGATAGTGACAATAAGTACAACGACGACTATGAATATTTTGAGATTAATCAAGGCAAGAACTATTATTATTTAAACAATGATGAAAATCGTGAGTATAGACAGCCTGGAAGAAACTACTATCAGTACTACGACGTGAACAACAAAAATTTAAACTCCGCCAATCAATATGAGGAATATGAAAATAATCAAGGTGATGGCGGGTATCATTTCGTCGATTTCAGCTACGACTCCAATGACTATAACACTGGCTATCAAGATGATAGGAGTAATCGCCAGCAACAGTATAACTACATAAACAACGATGGAAATAGTAGACATTATCGCAACGATGAAGAAAACAGTAGACATAACAAATATCGTGATTGGCATGAAGAGAGACATACTAAACATAAAGGCTCTTCCCATGATGATCAAAAGATAAAATTTGGCAATAGTAATCAAGATGAGTCACATGAAGATACAAAAACAGATGAAGACGAAAAAAACTGCCATGAAGAGAATATGAATAAACATAACACCCAAAGTCATGAGAATGGTGATTCCAAAGAGAATACTAACAGCAGCGGTAATGATAACGATGATAATGATAGTGGTAATGATAATAAAGAGGAGCAACCAGAGCATGGTGAAATAAAAAAAATGAATGAAAATAGCCAAAGCGAAGATAGACCCGATAATGAAGGTGAGACGAACGTTAACTTCGAAGAAAGCAATGAGAGTGAAGGCAACCAAAGTGATAAGCAAGAGGAGCGACAAGAAACGAATGACACCAACAATTGCGAAACCGGCAATGGTCAAGACGAACAACGGAATTCAGAAGAAGAAGGAGGCAGTGATGAAGAAAAAGGAGGTAATAAGAATTCAGGAGACAATGAAAACGAAAAGCAAACCAAAGACGATAAACGAGACGGTGATAGAGGCAATGAACGGGAGACAACTGACAACCAGGTTAATGACGAAGGTGATAAGAATGATAGTAAGGAAGAAGCAAATGATAACGAATGTGAAAATGGAGGTGATAATGAAGGTGATAAAAATGTTAACTCCGAAGAAGACAATGATGAAGAAAATAACAACGATGAAAAAAAGGGCGAGAAACAAGACGATCAGAAACAAGAAACAAACGAAAACGACGATAGTGACACCGAGAACGATCAGAATGGCCAACAGGATTCAGAAAGCAAAGAGAACAAAAAAGATAACACTGATGAAAAAGAAGAAGGCAATAAGATAGATGTGAAAGAAAAAGAAACAAGTGAAAATGAAATTGATGAAAAGAAGGAAAAGAACGAAAACACTAAATGTGACACTGAGAAAGATAAATGTACTAACAAGGACTCCTAGCATAAACAGGACAAAAAAAAGAAAAGCAGTGAAGAAGAAGAAGAAGAAGGAAGAGATGAGCGTGTAAACGAAAGCGATAATGAAGGAGATAAGTATAGTAGTTCGGAAGAAGAAAATAACAGTGAAAACCATAAAAACGACAACAAAGATGAGCAACAAGAAAACGGCAAGAAACAAGATACAAAAGAAAACGACGAGAGTGGCAGCGAAAACGATCAGAAGAATCAAGAGAATTCAGAAGACACTGAAAGCGAAGAAAACAAAGAGGATGAACGAGAAGACAATAAACACGAGGCGAGTGAACAAGAGGCAAATAATAATGAGAGTAGTAACGAAGGTGATAAAAGTGACGATTCCGAAGAAGAAAATGACAACGAAAATAAAAAGGAAAATGAGGAGAGTGGCACCGATAATGAGCAGAGTTCACAGGGCACTCAGGGCAAAAATAACAACAGCGCGGTGGAAGAAACAAATCGTAATGAGAGTGATAATGAAGATTATAAAAACGTTAGTTCCGAAAGAGGCAACGGTACCGAAGATAGTAAAAATGAGAATGAAGAGGAGCAAGAGGCAAGCGATGAGGAGAGACCACCAAATGAATCTTCCAAATGTGACACCAAAAATAACCAAGATAACCATGACGACAAAGAAGGAGGAGGGGATAAGGATGATGTGAATGCACAAAACCAAAGATAATAATCAAAATAATAATTAAGATGTTAAGGAAAAAGACTCCAAAGAAAATAGCATAATTTTTATTATTAGTTTCGGTTTGTAAAAACGTGGAAACTCATATAATGTGGTTACGAATAAAACAAAACTTTGTGAACTCAACTTCTCTCTTTTATTTTTCTTTATGATAGTGTATTATTCTTCTTCTGTAGTGTATTATTCTACTTTCTGATAGTGTTTTTTAGAAAAATGGATTTTGTGACAATTTTTTTGGTGCCCAAGAATCCACTCGTTATTACCGAACAAGTGGGAACTTTGCACTTTTTGTTAAATTATGGTCTGAAAGTTGTGAAATTCTAAGATAAGGATCATATGTGTATCTGTCAATCTTTTTCATTTAAGGAATGTAGATGTGGCTTACGTAAGTTTTATTATAATGAGATAAGCTTTAAGACAATACGTAATCTTGTCTTTTCATAAAACTTAAACATTGTGAATCTAGCTGCAAGCTATTTAGTCCCGGGTAAACATTTCAATAATGTTTATGCCACTTATTACTGCTTCTATACCTTAAATACCATTAAATCTATCTTCATTACTACTACTGACGTCGTATTTAAACTAGTTCTAACGCCAAAAGACTTAGCGAACAGCAAATGTATGGATGGACAGAAGGAGTGACAAGCTTAAATCGAGCATATACGTTTGCATAAACTTAATATACCCCATGTTACAAGTTATATTGCCACAGTAGAAGCCTAATTCGAAAAGTTGTCCAATTCTTTCAATCAGCTGTATATATACTGTAACTGAATTGTACATATTATATTGTAAATGAATGCAAAAATACAAGACTACGATTTCAGTAATGCTACTCTTGATTTTGTGCACCACAAGCGGACTGATAAATTGTTCATTTGAGTCATACAACGTGACTAAATGTTACAGCTATACGGTCTGCTTGATGCATCAGTACCATGAATTTCTAGTCTACGATGTACTTCTAAAGATTTCAGGGAATTTGAGTTTGTTGAATTTTTTTCTAGCGTTGCCAACTGGCAGTATAATTCTAAAGACAAAGATTCCTTGCACTCTGTCATCAATTTTTACAAATCTTATAAGAACACGTTAGCTGTTACAATTATTGGAATAACCAATCCAAAACGATAAATTAAGATTGATAACTCAACTAAAAATCTTCTCTTAGGACTGGGTCTACTCCTTTCACATTACGAGCGCACATCAGAATTTATGTTTACTCGGAGCCCATACAATACCAAGAGATTTTATTATTTCTTAATCACTTACTCGCAGCGTTTTGCCATTGGTTGTGGCATTTAACTTCGCTATTGACATGAGCAGTTTGGTACCTGGGCGTTCCTTTAACAAGAGAAAGTTTTCACATGCATCCAACGCATTACTTTGTTAAATTAATTTATTAAATTGCCAAAATATATGAAAACTCAGATTAGTTCTCTTCCAACTTGCTTGTTTTTTTTTTTTTTTGGTTCCTGTTTATTTCCGCGAACTAATGTGATCGTAATTGACATATTCAATATATTCATATCCACTTTCATTAGTTTGTTTGCCAAGAAAGACTAGAGTTATATTATTTTCATCACACATATGCAATTTCGATTTCAGCTACTGCAAGTACACTAGCAGTTATTTCCTGTTTTTTTACTATAAAAATAAAAGAACTCATGCGGCTTATAGTGCCGTTTACGTCTGTACTTAGAACCTTTTGGCCATCAGCTTTTGTACATCTTTTGTTGAGGCAATATTCAGTCTATCATCATTCTTGTTTTCCGCAACTTCACTCCGCACTTCTGCGATACAATATCATTTATTTCATGGTTGAGGGTGCGTCGGTCGCGAATTACCTAATTTTTTTATGTTTGCTCTGAACAATTCACCTCGTTTTATTATCGCCGTTGTATTATATATATATATAGTATACATACATATAGTAAGTGCACACACATACAGAGATGTAATGGCGATTTAATCTCAACACAAGCCACCAGCACAAACAAGCCACTAAAGCCCCGGTAGACTTCACAAAACCTTAAAAAGTGATGTCACTATCAGTTCTGAGCGTCTGCAGACAAATGTTCTATCCCATTATTTTGGGAATCCAGTTTCCAACGAAACAAGTTTATCCGCTTGTTAAATTGTTGAGATTACATTTCCATAGCTTTCTAATTTTGCACAATCTTCTCATTCTCTCCACGATGTCATATACTCACCCACATCTGCTAAATTTTTTATTGCAATCAAGTCTGAGCGTACATATTTTATTTGTTAGTAGTTAGTGAGCCCTTTAATCAATGGTTACCATCTAACGCTTAACAAATCATTTAATCAGTTAAAAAGGACACGATTATCATAAAAGGTCAAAATATTAATGCACATTACTTTTGTACGTACGAGTGAAACGAGTCTGGAATACTGAATTTCTTTGAAGAGGGTTGCCCTCTAGCGAAGCGGTTCCGCTTCATTGGTTACGTACAGGAACCGAAGAGTTAAAGTACAAACTAAGCCCACACAATTAAAATACTGTAAAAAGCTTTATAATTGTTGTTATTAATAACTTACAAAGTTTAGCAGATACCGTACGATTGTATAGCAAAATCAACTAGATACTAATAACATAAGGGCAACTAAGAAGAAAGTGTAGACTCATTTGACGTGGTATGTAACTAAGATTCAGTTCGTGACGATAATAAATATCTATTTATTTCTGACATCAGGTAAATTCAAAGGTTATTTACTATATCTTCGGTTAGTGACAGCATTTCTAACCAAATTTACATTTAATTGCTTTCATTACCTAATACTTTCAATTAAATTGAAGTTTACGAAATGTCAGTCTAACTATAAAGTACAAGAGACAAATTCATAAACAACAACGAAAATAATAATAACGCCAGGCGTAATAACTTTAGATATGATGGACATCAATCGGTTTGAAACAACTGTTCCAATAAACGGAAACAATATATAATTCATGTTGTGTACAACAAACAAATATTTAAATAATAAATAGTCTGAAACTTCTTTTTCTTATATAACCAGTGGAAGTTACTCAGGCTGTTTTATTTAATTTCATATATTAAAGC